ACTCCTACTGTCATGTTAACAACTTTGTTGATTTTGATGACTTAATTTTGTTTCTTTGCCTGTTCTTTAATTGCTTATAATTCATTTGGAACTCTTATGTAACTTCGTATTCTCTTCTTTGTTATTATGTGTGTCCTGAGTAAAACTCAATCATCAAACTAATCATATTATTACATAACTTCATCTTTAACAACTGTTTATGACAACTCATCACCTTTGTTGCTACCCTAATTTCATTAACATCTAATTTTCTTGACTGATTTTGTATTACGTAACTCCAACAACTAATCTTCACCTGTTTCTTTAAAATAACCATAACCAACTGTATTTTTGTTTGACAAACTTAATGTACACCTACATACAAAATAACATATATATTTGCAATTGTACAGGTAAGAAGACGAATTCGTCGGAAAGAGACTCTTCGCTGAACTACGTGTTTTGTTTTCATTAACTGAAAAGAGACCAAACTTGAAAGATGCTGCCTCCCCTTTCAATAATGTCCTGCCTATTATTCGCTTACAATGTTGCCGCAATGATGGTAACAAATGATGTATACTTTTTGTATTTATTTAAGTAATATACTATTGAGACAAAAGGATGGGTTAGCAGTGGTCTTCCACTTGCAGACTGCTTTATAGCTAGCTAAGAAAATAACACTTTACGATGGACGTTGGAGAGTTTTCATCAGTCTAAAAGACACACTGCTGTAACGTTTACTGTGTCATAGAGGTACTGAGATCTAAGTTATGATGAACAAATTCAACATCTCACACAATTCAGTAAGGCTCACATTAGAATCCGAGGCCATTTAAAATTATAATTTACAAGATTCAAAATGATAGATTTTTTGAACAAAGCAAGAACAAAGCTTTTTTCTGAAAGCACTTTGAAATAGGCCAAAATGAATTGACCTATACACGAATTTTTGCATTCGGATACTCTTCAGTAGAAAGAGAAATCTAAAACGTTACTTAAATTCAAGAATTTTCAGGATTCACGCCGGAGATACAAGTGACAATTAAAAGGAATGCTCACTGTAGATGCTAATAGAAAACGGGTAACCTACAATGTTCACTGATAAAAGTGTGGACGCAGAGCAACATTTCACCTATCTTTGGAAATAACTTTCTAGTTATCATATCAATGAAATCACTCCCCCCGTATTATTCACTAGTAGACTACTGTACGTTAAAGTGAATAAAAATACAGTTGAACAGCCTGTGAAAGAAATTTCTTTTTCGTTAAATATTCTTTAGTTACTGAGAGATTAGGAGACTAATTAAAACTTGATTTACATCAAAAGAGGGAATTATGATGAAAGCTTTTTACGAAGCATTAGAAAAAAAATCAAATTAAAGTCTTGTATGCAAAGAGTATTTGCCAGTTGAACTGCAATCAAACGTTTTTCTCTTCAGACAGTGTGTGAGGATGCTCTACTATTAATTCTTTTCCATTTTGTTTCATAGACCAATGCAAGTAGTTAGTTGATTTATGGAAAAGTTTCCAACTTGTTGCTGCATTGGTTCTTGTTGATTTCTCTCATTTTTCTCCTGTATATGTTTCATGAAAAAGTTTTAAAAGTACTCATTCTTCTAAATAACTTTTAGCCACGTCCAGTTGTCTTTCACCGTATTCACCATGCATAAGTTTTCTTGATGTCTGGCCAGAAGAAGGGAAATAATTTGAGGGGAGTACTATGATACAGAGTAGCGGGTGACAGTCAGTAGAAAGGTCTGAACCTAGATCTTCCTCTTGCTAGAACTCATCAGAGCGATGTATCTATAGCCTGATGCACTTTGCTGACGCTTGCAGACAAACCGAAGAACCACGACCAAGGTTTATTACTGGTTACCTTAAATTATCTAACATCATTTTGAAGTGCCGCGTGATGGTGAGTCTTCTAGCCGAGTGAATATATCAAAAGCTTCACTGACTGAATTCATTCAGTACCAAAGACTACACAACATGAAACCCGGTTAATCTGTTATTATCACTCTATCAAGTGATCCATTTAATTGTTCTCGAAGCATAACTTCCAGATTTAGCAAACAAAGATACATAATTAATGCGCAATATTCAGTAGGCTGAATTCAAACTGTCATAAAATAGAGTGAACGGTAAGCTGGCAATCAGATCTAAGACATGAACTGGAAGATTACAAGGATTAGGAATAGAAATAATTAAACTATCAACATTGTAAGAATTAGTGGACAATTACTTATTTCTGAATGCATTAATTAGATTTTAATCAACCCTATTAGTTTAATGATTCCTTAAAAGTCAGCTTTATTCATAAATTCTTAAACAGTCGTTTAATCTGTTTGTCTTTATTTCCCTCTCTCTATAAATATGCATTTAACTGCAAGCTTACCACTGTTTCATGAGGTTGTATTTGTTTAATTTTTTGTGTTTCACCTACTTTTATACTTTCTACAGTAAAATACATCCTTTCAATTAATTGAGACAGGTGAATACTGCTCTTTGAATTTTTCAGTCAGCAAACCGTAAAAGACAACCGACAAAATAAAAAAGAGGCTACCAAATTTCCTTGCTCAAACTATGCTTGTCCTACAAATGTATCGTCTTTTATTAATTATACGTAATGTAGTCTCCAGACAAGCACCAAATTGTCTTCCAGTGTCATAGGGGAAGTCAAAACATTTAACTATCAACTGAAGCGTAGACCATAATAACTGGCCATAAAAATAAGCTATTATGCAACTACTTTTGGAAAATAGTACTACTTGTTCACTGTAAATTTCTAGCCCATTTAAAATCTCTTTTTTGAGTTTTCAAATTTTTCTGCCATTATTTCATCCTGTTGACAAATGAGCTCAAAGTTTACAATAAGCAACTGAAGCTTTAAAAAAACTACTATGAATTAAAAGGATAGCTAAGAACGGGAAATGAAACAAAAATGTTTATCAAATAAATTTTAGTAGTCTGGGAAGTAGTTTCAATAAATATAATATGGTTATTCAGGGATAGTAAGTTTAAAATATTCGATTAGGTCTTAGTTTAAAAAAAACAATCATTCTTTCTTAGGGCAAATAATAAGTGTGAACTTGAATAGGGCAAGAACAGCAGCTTTTGCAGAATAAAATGGTACCATTATTTATTTCATTGTCTTCTCGAAAAGATGAAAAAAAATTTACTCTTAAAGGTTCATTAACGAGTACAGAATATCTGAAGGCCCAAATGTCAAATAAATCACAGTGGGAAAAAAGCCCAACTTCATTCAACTTGATTTTAAAGGTGAAAATATTACAGCAGCTGTCAACAGGAATTGAGAACGTCACTAGCCAGAGCCTATCCTGCAGCTAAGCTGGTTCCCATCCATCGAAAAACATGCTCTTTGGTACAATCAAAAGTCGACAGATATCTTTTCATGTTAACTCCAACTATGTATACAAATTGACTTATATCTGCAGCAAAAGTTACATTGAAAGAACAGAAAGAAGGGTATACCTCTGATTTTCTGAACATATAACGAAAAGCCTATGCCATAGCCAGACCTCTTTTTGACACGGGTCATAAGATGGACGTCACAAGATCGTTCAAAATTACCAATAGGCAAAAGAGTTCTGCTCTGCTTAAGTTTGTCGAAGCAATCTCCGTCAGGCTACTGGAATCCGATTTAGGCGTTCAGAAAGAAGCAGTTGTCAGTCTTTCGTTGTCCTGATAACTGGATGTTTTCATCTTCTCTTTTGTCCAATTATGTAATACCGAAATATTCCATTGTGTATGATTATTGTTGTTTGGGACAAAGTGATTATTAATATTATCATTGTATGCAAATACTGATTTTTTATGTTTAAAAATGAACTCTATGCAACTATGTTAAAACTATTTCTGTATATAAACTTAATAGTGTCTTTGGGCTGTAAGTAGCTGATGCGAAGCCACCAAGATTAGTGATGGTGTCATTTTATTCTGCACAAATTGTCGTTCTTTTTTCTTATTCAAATTCATTAAGGGGAATAAATGTATGAAATAAGTATGAAGTGAATTGGTTCCTAAGTAGTGATTTTAGGTCTGACCCTTGTATTTACCTTCTCTGGGATTCTTTGATAAGAGGCACCAATTTCTCAGCTTTTTTTCTGTTTCCACATGCAACTCAGTTTAGAAATAATAATAATCTTTAATTTTTAGTGTGTACGAATAGGGGAGTCATTTATGGTATTTTCTTCTGTAGGGCAGTAGTTTAGCTCAAAAGATCATCCTTAGAGCCCATATCTCTCTGATGTTGGTAATGTCCTACACATCACCTTACATACATCAAAATATATGGTCAACCAAGTGTTAGTATTATGGTCAGCATTTTTCCTTTATAATGTAAGTTTGGAGACGTGTTCCTGAAGCTCTGTGTTCCACTCAGAACCCAAGGGAATACTAATATAATAAGAAATGCAAATGCGGAGTCTGGGTACTGCGGTGGGATGTAATTTCATACTACATAAGTTATCTAACATGGAGTTACTTCCTTTCATAGTCACCTGATTAGAATATGGGCTTGCAATAAGTATTCGATGTAGTTATTGGGATAACTAATAGAACAATCCCCTTAAATTTTATCAAGCAGTGGAATCAAATATGCAGTTAAAGAGATGTACTTTTCAGTTCCCTTTTGTCAAAAAAAAAGAAATCAAAAAACAAACAAACAGAGAAATCAGTAGGATATTTAAGTTCAAATAAAACACAGCTCCAATTATCTTTTTTTTTGTTTGTTTGTTTGCGTTTACAGCTTATCCTAATATATTATATATGTATATAAAGAGAAAATAAGTTGAGTATAATTCATAAATAAAAATTACATATAATCTCTGTTTTTGTCTACCTCTAATTCTAAATAATGAAATGAAAATTGTTGAAACTCAGTTTCTTGGGCCATGAAATAAGATTGATTGTAGCAGTATATAATAAATGAGAAGAAGAAGAACAACAACAATAGGAATAATGGTAGAAGGAAACAAGGGTGATAGATAGAGTTCTTCTGACTAAAAATGACGATCCAGCGCCTCAAGATATTTTGAATCAATGGCTTTGGGTATAAGTGTATGTCTGAAAGAGACAAAAACAGTAGAATGAACTGTCATTTAGGAGAAAATATAATCTAAGTTAGCTAAATTGTGTTCGTATTAACAAACCTTTCTCAGTAATTTTCATTTTTTACACAATGGTCCACTTAGGAATATTAATACAGTCTAGGTTACTTTATAAATTACCTGTGTCGGCTGAAACCTTATTTTTAAATAAACGAATAATTTGTAGTACAACACAGTACTGTTACCATTATTCATCCGTTAGCTTCCTAGTGGAATATAGAGCTTTAGCAGCCCATCCTTATTACATTAGAGTCTCTGGTGTCACTTTCGAGTGACTTCATGACTCCTCACGAGCTTCCATTTCTTTCTCACACAACATTCTTCATGTCATTATTGAAATGACGCCAAACCAGTCGTTTTACATTCAGTTTCATCCGAGGATTTGAAGGTCTACCCAGGGTCGGTGGGACAGCGATCAGGACGCTCGCCGACCATAGACATGGTTCGGGGTTCTATCGTCAGCCTGCTAAATTCGGGTTACCAATATCACGAATGTCTTCAGCCTGTCGGAATTGCTTCCCGTGAACAGTGCTTCAAATGTCTGAACCATAAGAGAACTATGACTTGACATTGAACCTGTAAATTTGGATCTTCTTCCTTGTGCTGAAAGCTGTAGATCTAAAAATTCCTGTCTTTTTTTCCTAATCCTAGCTGACTTCAATACCTGAATCGGTACCGCCTACAGTTGAAACAGTGCTCACCAGATAGATGGCTAGGACACTTCTTTTAGATTTTCCTGCTGATGGTGATTGACGTCTGCTGTTGTTGGTAGGAAAGTTTTATAACTTTTGTCTTCTAGTATTCGCCTTTTCTTCTGCCAAGCTATTGGATTATGCTTGTAAGTCTTCGACCATGTGTAAAATAAATTTTTCTAGGATCTTTCTGTTTGCCAAAAGTAAGCCCGTCTTCTCGCTGCCACTGGCTTGTTGCATGATGCAGTCCACCACAATCAGAAAGGTGCTATATATATATATATATATATATATATAGCATTTTTATTACATTACACAATCTACCAATCAAGTGGCTGAAGCAAGAGGAATCAACCTGGAGAAGCCAAACCTATGTGTTCAGAAGAAATTTGTACAACCACTTTCCTTACCTTGGCCATCATTACATGACTGTATAAACCAGACTACTTCGCCCCCTCCCCCTGAACCTTTAAAAATTATAATTGTCCAAATTATTCTATTTTTTTCTGACTACTTCATCTTTGATTACATGTTATCTTTGTAAAATTATTTTATTCTTTTAATCACTTCATCCTTAGTAACAAGTTATTATTGTTCAAATCATTTTATTTTCTTTAACGATCTGTTACGTTATCAACCTGTTCACAAGCTTATTCCGTAATTACTTTTCATTTTTCTAAAATTGTGCATTACGCAATCCATGCCTTGCAACCATTGCTACCTTTTACTTGTGTATATTAATTAATTAATAATTAATTATCACCCCATTGACATGATGACACTGACCAGTTATTGTTAGCATATATATCGCCACTTGATTGGTAAACTGTTGTGTATTGTAATAAAAATGCTATATAAATATATATATATATATATATATATATATTGGAGCAAGGCCAGAGATAAGTAAATATTTCTCTGCTCAATCCTTTTGCTTCCTAAGTGTCTAAATGGGGATTTTTTCAATATTCAATGAAAGACGAAATTTGCAGCGGGTCGGGTGTGAGGACAAATACTCGCCGAAGACATTGGCTAGCGGTCGCGTTATGTCGTGAATTGGCAGAAGTTAGAATTTATGGGCTAGCCATTGGGTCGGGTTCCAGTGGCTTAATGGTATACGAACTCGCCTTGTAACCGGAAGGTCCTGGGTTCGAATCCCGGTGGGTGCGTATTGCTGAAGAGTCCCAAAATAGGACGAAACATCTGGCTGTTCAGTATTCCCAGCTGGTTTTCCAATGGTTCTCTAACTAATGTCAGCTCATGATGAAATCCTGAAACCAATCAAATCCCTACAAACCAACACTTGAAATTTTTTTATCATAGCTTGATTCCAAACCATATTTTTGGTACAATTATGGAGTTTTCAGCATGTGATATCGGTAGACCAAATTTTGCAGGCCGACCATAGATATCAGGTGTGCGTCGGTGTGGGCTCGAGCCCCGAACAATGTGGATGATCGGTGAGAGTCCTAACCGCTGTGCCACCGACACACACAGATGTTTTAATTGTCAACAATGTTATCAAAGAAGGATTAACAGAAAATCTTTAGATTTTTTAGAAAATTATTTTGATGTATTGTCAGTTTTCATGAATCTGTCACTTGCTCATAATCGTTTTGGTGATGAATGAGCAGAAATCAGTTAAATTAAAGAGGTATCATCAGGATTTTAGATTTTTTAGTAAAGCCGTTTTATCTAGCAGCTGCCTAGTAAAAGCTGCACATGTTTTAGTGGGAAATTATAAGTAAGTCATTTTGGTTTTGATGTAGTAAACAATAAATTAAGGTCTGCTAGATGATAACTTATTGTTTGGAGGCAAATGATACTTTTGCTTTGTAAACTTTATGCTTCATATCAGGTTTCTGGATATTCAGATCTCATCCTTCATGAACGAAGTTTCAGAATAAGCAAGCAGATGGATATATTAATTTTCCTGCTGAGATTGGAGTTAAAGTTTGTCTGTGGTTTTGCCTTTATTAGCCTTATTGACAAAGATTTACTTCCCTTGAAATTTAAGACGTTTAATGATTGGGTACTTTCCACTGCACTAGTGAATCGCAAATAAGCAACAGCTAATTACCACTAGACAATAAGTTGCGTTCATAGCTCAACAATTTAGTGTACAAATGTATAAGGCGTTTCATGATGAAGAGGTATTTACGTATACGTAGTGAAGTTTCACAAGGCTTGAGAATGTAACTTGCAAAGTCGTACTTGCTGTCAAGCACGCAAGTGAATGGCATCACGAGGACACCAATGACTTAAAATAATTCATGCATTCACTGTTTCCATTACTTGTTTATTTTTGCTTTCATCATTTTATGTTCAAATGAATTATGTTTTTTCGTGGTCATAGATGCTTGAAGTCTTTTGAATTGTCGATTTGTAGGTATCACAAACGATGACATTTTATCACAATAGGATTGACTGTTTTCAAATCATAACAGTGCTGTTCAGTCAAACAGACTGAAAACCCTACTTAAAGTAGACCGAATGAATATAAGTAATCAAATGGACGATGCAGTCGTGAAAAGTGAGCAAAAAGTACAAGTGACTGACATTTGTGAGTGCCTTTCACAGTGATCAGTCAGCATATCACCTGTTCAGCTTAAAAATCTCCAAGGATTTCCGGCCTTGAAAACTGATACACTTTTTCTGTACTCGAATTAGGTTTTTCAATTTATTGAGCAATGATTATTGATCTTCAGTTACTCATAATCCAATGGTACATCATTTTAAGTGTTAAAAAGATTTCTACAGAAACATATTTTTTGCACAAAATTTCTCTTACCTTAGGACTATTTGTACAACAAGTATAACAGGGAATATTAATTTCACATATGGACTAGGAGCAAATCCGAATGCACAAAGAAATCCTAACTGGACCAGTTGAAAAAACGTGAATAGGTGAAGTTTCCTTTGAGGTACTCTTCTTATGTAATGAGATGGTGGGTAGGCTGACTAAAATATGAGAAAAGAATAATCAAAAAAAAAGTAAATAAAAGTAACAGTAATTCCCGTTTTAACAGAAGCATTCAGCATATAATGGTAAAGATGAAGATTGTAAAATGCTAGTCAATGTTAAACAGACACTCAATTTTACTGACTAGGATAAAAAGCTTTGATGTCTCAGATATATAGTTTCTTCGTTATTTATAATACAATTATACAAAGTGGAGAAATGAACCTACAGTCAACTGATAGCACCCTTTGTGAAAAAAGACTGAGAGTAAACAAGAAAAATGGTTAAATAACCCGAAGAAAAAGAAATTCACCTGTTACGAAACCGGAATGTCAATAATGTATTCATTATTTAGGTTGGTTTATGTTTTACAAGATTTAACCACCTTACTTAGTAATTTTCTCAATCAATTATATAATCTGTTCACATCACTATTGCCGTCCACAACATCTATTTCACAGCTTATTTACCGCCATTAATGTTTCCATCAGGTGGTACTGATTACTTTTCGTATCAGAAGGAACAATCAATACGTCACTGAAATCTCAATACAATTACCAATGCCCAATAAAATACTTAAGGATTGATTGTAACAATTTCAGTTATGATGGGAGAGGTGTTTTTTAATCCATCGATAGTTAACTGGTGACATTTATTTTAGAAATGTTTCGTTGGCTTCATACATGTTCCTGAAATGTTACTTTGAACAGAGGTAATTGAAGCGATTTGAAAAGCAGTGCTCTAAATAATATGGTGGGACACCTTTGGAAGAAGTTAGTATATAGATATATCGAGCATAAGGTAGACTTGCTCTGTTTCACAGGTTTTCTACAGCTTCTTACAATGCGGTTTTTTTAAACTAGTGCATACAGAATAAAAGTAGGTGATATATTGCAACATTATTTTATTCATAAGATAAATTCCTTAATTACAGTATATCAATTTATCACGAAAGATGAATATACGAAAGAGAGAATAGCCAAATGATAATATAGAGTTTCTCTATAAACTAATTTAAAATAATCCAAGAACACTTGATGATATAAGATAGTTGGAGGCAATCGGAAGGAAGCCTTGGACCTAGGTTTTGTGCTAGTTGGCTCCTATCAGCAAGGCGTATCTGCAGCCTTGAAGGAACTCATGTCCTTTCCGAGATTCGAACCCGAGTGACCCAGTGCTGCAGTCAGAGACGTTACCGCTGAGCTATTCGGGCTAACAGCTGACCTCCTGTAGGACTGTAGTGAGTAGTAACTAGTATGACACGTCTAATCCTTTCAGTGATGCCTCCAACTATCTAATATCATCAAATCAATGTACACCCTGATGGCGAGCTAAGTAGAATGGTGGCTACATTGCAAACCTGACTGATATAATTCAGTCTGCGCCAAAGAAAGGACTAGACACATCACACTAGTTACTAGTGTCCAATCAAAATCCAAAAGCATTTAGAAAATGAAAACAGAGTTACTTTGGCAGAACTGCTGGGATTTTATTAAAAATTTAAAAAACTATATATATATATATATATATTGTCAGGTAGCGTATGAAATGAACTGAAGTTGTATAAAGGTCGTTTTGTAGGTGAATATACGTACATACAGACTAAATATGACTATTAATTAAGCAGAAGGTTTAAAGATGAATTTCACATAGCAAGTGAATAATTATTGAGAAAACTAAAATAAACAAAAGAACTTCATGACAACATAAGTGAACGGTAGGATCTGTGGTTAGTGTGAGGTTTATCATATAAACTTTCTATAGAGAACGAATGAGTTGCAGTGGGTGACAGACGAAAGAAACGGACATGCCGGATATTGCTTATCTAGAAATCTTGACTGACTTCGACTGTCTTTTCTATGTGAATTTGGTGTCTGATATTTTTGTGCTTGTAAAAGCTTTCTTTGTATAGACGTTGATTTCCTGTGATATGCTAAAACAATCCGATAAGTTTTGTTAACTCATTTTGTGCAGTGTATTTGCTGACACATGACTAAAGTATTTCTCTGTTTTGTATGATCTAATGAGTATTTTGTATTGTATACTGGTGTCAGTCTAGCTTTATGCACATGAAAAGTAAAAAGGCTTCGATCAATAGTTTTATGTTTGTATTTATATTTCTTTCGTCTTCTCTTAATCTCTGTAAGGTTAAACTGGCTGTCGACTTCTTAGTTGGCAGTGAAAGTGATATAAAAAGAACTTTGTTAATCTTTCTAAACATACTAGATCTATGATCAACATTATTATCATTTGTGTCTTTTCTGTTCGTGATTTCTTTCTTGTTTGTTGAAAGCAGATAAAATCTAATAGTTAACCCATGGCCATTTCAAGATTTAGCCGGAACAGTGAGTTGCTGAAAGGAAGTCAAGGATTTTCTTTGCAGTAAGTAACATTGTAACAGCTGAAAGCAAGACATGGAAGCCAAAGTATATTGTCAAATGATCAAACCTCTATTTATAAATATACAGTTTATATTCTTCAATCAATCATTGAGTGTGTGATTTTGGTTTACACACATAGTATTCTATTTTTATTTTATTTTTTTATCTTTTTATTTTTGATTACAGCTTGACTCCACACTGTATTTCTGGTACAAGTATGGAATTTTCAGCATGGATATCGGTAGCCCAAATTTTGCAGGCCGACCATAGATACCAGGTATGCGTTGGCAGGGGATCGAACCTCGGACCATGTACATAGTCGGCGAGAGTCCTAACCACTGTTCCACCGAAGCACTATTGAACTGTGGGAATATTATTTAGCCGTTAACACCAGCAAATACAATGATTCTTAGTGTGAGAATAATACTGTGTTGGAACCCTTTGTCTGTATCACACCTCCTCACTATATATCTCGATACAAAGAAGAGGAAGTTCAAAAACTGATGAACAGTTAAATTAGGTCAAAGTTGAATAAATAAAAATACACGTAAGGTAGGTACATTATTATCATATTTCCTTCTTTTTCTTACGTCTTTCTGACTACTGAGTTTCTAGGCGAACATTTTTACAGTATTCAGTATGAATAGTCACTAAACAAAGAAGACAAACAACTCAGTTTATTGCTATCGTGAAAAGAAACAACAATGCTTAATACACATTAGAAAAACTCACTTGTTCTGTGATGAAAAGTAGTATTCTTTCAAACATTTGATTATCTTGCAGCGCAGTTATAGCCATATAAACAAACAGTCCGTTCAATACAGGAGGTGGTATGTAAATCAATGGAATAGGTATCATCGCCAGCGATAGCCCAATAAGTATGTGTGATATAATCAGTGTTAATCGTGTTTCACGTACCCGAATAATGCTAGGAAATATTAAGCGCAAGAGAGCGAATAATGTTCACAGGTTTTCAATTTACTTATTGACAAAATACACTAAGTTGTTTAAAGTGGAAATCTGAGGGCGACATAAAAAGCTTTGCATAAATTTAAAGTTGTAAAAGGTGTTCCTAGTTTATATAAACTGAAGATTAGACTATAAGAAAGTTGACCGATTCAACCGTTATATTCACACTTAAAAACTACGATGTAAGTCCCTTCTTGCAAGAATAAAAGATTAAAGTTTTGTATACTGGTAAGTTTGAAACCAGAGTTTATCAGTTTTTCAGCCAATATTTACATTGGTGATATAAATAATCTTCATTTAGCTAGGCACAATTTCAGACATCCTTTGAACATTAATGTAGTGTAGAACTTAGCCACTTCAGTAGAATGTAGTTCCATAATAGATAAGTTTACTTTAAATACTGCACCTCTGGGTGATATTTAAAATAAACTTATCTAATACGGAATCAGTTGAACAGTTGTATGTATTAATCCAATATAATAAAGTTAATTTGCTAGATCAACACAATAGTTAACCGACTAATTAGATTATTTCTTCAGACAATGTATTTTACACATTATGTAGTCCAGTAACTGTAGCAACATACATCCAGAGTGAATAGTCTTTACTTCCACTACTGCTTTAGATCGATTTCACGACGTTATATAACAGCTTGTTTCAAAGACAAAGTGGAGTAAAACAATAAAGGTCAGATTATTTGTCTAATTTTTTTCTACCTTTATGTAAATTAACTCGTGCATTTTAAGCTTATGAGTATTCACTGTATTCTATTCAGTAATATGTGTTATTCTCATTGATCTGTTAATAGTTTATCTTTATTGAGAAGTTTGTTTGGCATGTGATTAACTCCCGCCACATGCAAGATGATGTTACAGGACTCGACCACGTTGACTCCTAGTTTAGAAATAGGGAGTGAAGTGGTAGATCACATTGACCGCTTCACTTATTTGAGAAGTACCATCAGCCCCAACGGGTTGATCTCTGACGAAATCTCAGCACGGATACAGAGGGCTAGTTTCGCATATGCCAGTTTACGCCGTCTCTGGCGTAGACGTGATGTCCGACTATCGACCAAAGGGAGGGTGTACTGCTCGGCAGTCCACTCCTCCCTCCTTTATGGCTGTGAGACCTGGCCATTGAGAGTGGAAGACATGAAAAGATTAACTGTCTTTGATCATAGGTGCCTGCGCTCTATCTCCCGTGTTAAGTGGTATAATAAGGTGAGCAATATTGAGGTTAGGCGTCGAGTTCTATGTAAGCAGGGGAAATCAATCGACGAGGCTGTGAAGTTACACCGATTGAGATGGTTAGGACATGTGTTACGTATGCCTAGTCATCACCTTCCTCGACTGACGGGCAATGTTAGCTGATATAGGGTCAGGCTGGAAAAGAGCTAGCGAAGGTCAAACCAAAACATGGCACCAGTCAATGAAATCTACAACAGTTAGTCTAAGCCACGTAGGAAGGTGTAGACTTCCTGGTTGGGGTCCTTAGGACGGTAAAAACCAATGGTTGGAAACAATTGGTGACATGGCTCAAAATTGTTCTCAATGGCTGATGCAGATGCATCCACTCCCTGTGACTTATGATTTCCAGTGAAACTATATTGTTCTTCGTTATTACTATTCCTTTGTCTCACACCTCTGTTTACTGTCTCTATTATGCATTTCTTCTACTATCTTCTCTTGCTTTGCGTGCTACATGGAGTGTGGAGACTCGAACTGTCGCACATTTGTGCAAAGTTCCATGTCGAATGCAGACAGACAGACAAACTTCCGCATTTCTCCTTATTTCTCCTTCACTTATGACGAAAAGTTTTGCAAATATATACATCTACATTGATAAACACTAATATATCAATTATCTTGAAAAGTAAATATTTCCTTTGATAACTTCCTCTTCAGTTTCTTTAATTGTGTACGCACTTCACGTAATTAAAAAATAAGTGTCATCAAATTAGAGGCAGGTAAGACAGTGAATAGTAATAATCAAATAAACAAATAATCAGAGAGTTCTTTTCTGGAAAGATGTAAGTGAAAAACCATTTTAAATTTTTGTTTTTAAGTGGTATATTTAATAGCTAGTGTTCATTTTGCAATGATTTCTCCTCTGGAATAAATTGGATACACACTAATAGGCTTCAACGACGCACTTTGAATCATCTTAGACAACATTGTTAAAAATAACATTATTATCAGAATGAGAAGACATACAATCACATCTTACTACGACGAACTCAGAGCCTCTATTTTTTTTTGTTTTAAGACCAACTTAATATGCAGTGGACATACATTTTCCAACCTATTTTAAATTCTGGCTATATTTAAAATTGAAAACTACAAAATCCTGAAAAGAATGTGGGTGGCTGCACTTTAGGCGATGAAGAAATTATTATCTCATAACTTGTTGCTATGTATCAATAAAATAATGCTGATCAAACACAGATTTTAATTCTGCATTCTTGGAGAAGTAACGCTAAAAAAAGAACTGCTTTGTTAATATTCAGAAGGGAAAGAATAACTCACGTTTGTCTGATATGGTGTCCACCATCTACATGTTCTTCCATATCTGCTAAAGCTTTAACATGTAGTGGAGTATGAGGCAGAGCTGCATGTACCCATGGAAGACAGAAAATGGATAAGATGATGTTAATTAGTGCTAACACAAATAAATCCCAATGGTTTGATGGTCCTTTTCTAAGTCTTAAAAATAAAAACAAAACACAAAATCACTCTTTATTGTTGTGATTATTGTGAAATGAATAGATGATACACTACCAAACAGATTGATTTATTCATTCTTCTATAAATGAAAACCATATTGTCTATCTTAAGACAACTAAATATAACTTTTAATTTAAGATGGCGGACTTGGGATTTTTGAAAAAAGCTAAATTTATTTTTCCTCCGTAAGCATTTATTTTGGCATGTTGTCATGGTGTACAAATTTCTGACAAAAATTCGCCTAGGTTATTAAATATTCAGAATTTTGTCCACAAATTCAATAGGGACGACAAGCAAATGGTGTGTTTTTAAAATAACTCTCGATTGTGATTATTTCTGTCTATTTGGAAGTCAGGCATTCAGCTTACTGCTATACTATTTATAGCAGGACACATTCCAGATATCTGTGTGCAACATCATACGTAATATTTCTGTTTCTTTTCCACATTTACAGAAGTTCGTCCTTTATAAAACAAATTATTTTTATAACTCCGTGGTGAAAAATGTAGTAGCCTAACTTTGAAAGTTGCAAAACACTGACTAGATACTAGAGAAAAACGACAGACCAAGTTCAGAAGCATAAAAATAAATGCTGATCAGTCATTTTTAATTTTAAATATTCAGATTTGCTTTAAATTTAGTGGGTAAATTTTGTAATCTTCTCAATACTTTTAAATACATGAGGTTTGATGTGAAAACCATTGATTCTTCTAAACTGTATACATTTTGAAACGTTTTGTGAGGTTGTGCATCTATTAGTACCATGGTAAAAATAAGGCCTTAATTAGAATTTTATGCTACTTCACGGGTTGTATTCAACACATCTGTTATTTGTTTAGCTTAACAGTAATTTAAGGAATTAAAGGTTTATTTTCAAATTCAGTATTCTATACTAGTGTAGACCTTTTCCTAAATTCCATAGCTTGATGACATTGCGATAGGCCGACACTAGCAAAAGTACCATTGAAAGCGAAGGGACAAGTGAGGACTACTTTATCCTAGTTAGGAGTTTTGCAGTTATATTCACCAATGATCCAATCAGAGAGTGAACTACAGAAAAGCAAATCTCCAGTGTTGCTGATTTCCATTTGTCGTTACTGCGATGTATCATTTATTTATCTAACATCCGAATCAGTGAACTCCTAGGGATAGTAAATTATTTGTAATGTTGCGTTTTGAGTCCAGAAAAGTTAAAGTTTTGAACCACTGGATCGGGATATTATACTTGTATGAACATATGCTTGAGTGATAAATCGATGGCCGTTGCTGTGATAGAAAGTTCCAACTGTAGTATCTAGCCAACACTGCTTTGGTTTTAATGGTTCTCTGAATAATGATCGTTTGCATTTGTTATTGTTAATTTTACCTATAGTTGTCTAAAGTAGCTTCAGGTAAAATGTAGATGTCAACGATGGTCCAGTATACCTGTGCTTTAGAAATAATTTTTACCTACAGTCACCTTATTTGTACAATTTAGTAATTTAAGTCGTTATTCTCTATATCATGAGGAGAATATGAAGTCTAAAAATATTATACCAAAAACATCATTTATGACTCGGATTCATTACGCGATACAGCTGTAAGTATTCATTTGAGAAACCAAATTAATTACATTATTATTATTATTGTTCCTTTGGTTCCTAGTGGAACATAGGGCTTCAACTGCACGTCTCCACTTGCTTCTGTCTTCTGCTGTACTTCTCACCTGCATCCATCCATGTTAGTTCACACTGTTTCAACTCCTCTTCACACGATCTCCTCCAAGTTACCCTTGCACTGATGTCCCACTTGCCGCTTCCCTTCCAAACTGGTTCCACTCGAGCAATGGTATGAAGCGCTGTTATCCGGTGGCCTCCTCAGAGAGTGTCCAATCCATCTCCACTTTCTCCTGCACATTTGTTGGCTGGCGATTGGTTCTTGCTTTGTTTGTTCCCAGCCATAGTTTCTTGTTGGTGATTCTTTCCGGCCCAGCCATCTGATCTTCAGTATAGAGCGATAGTTGACAGTTATTGATAAAGGTCTGGTCTGCAACAGGCTGTTGGAAATATACTTTGTGGCCCGCCCGCCAAGTTTCTGATCCGTATAGAAGAACTGACCGACTTGACGTTTGTATTGAAAATCCGACCGAATTTTGTTGTTGATGCTGGCTGAGTGACGAAGATTTCCAGATTGGTTTCAGGTTGATGAGTGAATGTATTTCTTGCCTTCCCGATTCTCGATCGATTTGACATCCTCTTCCGTTCCGACCGGCTGTAGTTGGGACAATGTTCCCTAGATAAGTGAATGAAGTGACCTCTCTCAAATCCTTCCATTGAAGGTGATTGGCGCAAGATGTTGCTGCTGTTGTTGTTGTTGGCTGGTTATTTTCATAACCTCCATCTTGTCTATGTTCATCTGGATTCCTGTCTTCACCGGCTGCTTCTTCGACCAGTTTAATTAAATAATTTGATTAATTTCAAGTGAAGTAAAAAACTAAATGACTTATTCTGTAATATTACAGTTTATCACTCAATACTAGTAAGATACTTTTAGCTCATTCTGATTATCCTTATGTCCTTTTCAGACTTTGAGGATGCTTGTAGCAAATTCTTTACTCAAAATATACAAAATCCATTAACACCAAGCACCACTGGAGATGACGTCTAGACTGATGTTTAAAACTATATTGACGTCGTATATCAGTTTAGCAACCATATTTTTGAAGCCCTAAATAAATTATTGATATTTGCTTGTGGTAAAGACAAACTGGTTTCACTACACATCTATCAAAAAAATATTTATACCTACTATACTATTTCTAAACCTTTTAGGAATTTAGATAACGAGAACTCCTGATTCTCATCATGCAAATTCAAACCCTCTTGCAAACAGTCTCTTGTGTTATTGATCTGACTAAGTAAGCTGTGTTTTTCATATGTTCACTTATTTTAGATTTAAGGCCTGCAGCCACTCAGGCGTAATACGTGACTTGAATGATTTTCTTCATAACTTTCCACTAAGTAACTTCAATCTAATTTTCTTTCGGTCATGCTTTTGTGAATTAAGCATAGGGGCTCGTGTATATATACATATATTCTGTATCTAATCCTGATGCTTTATGCTCAGTATCTTAAGGGAACTAATATCTCAAGCTTTTAGAATGACTAGGGATCAACATCAAATGCTGAAAAATGTTTTCATTTGGTCGTACAGTATAAATCTCATAGTTTTCGGATGACATTAATCCCCGACCAAGCTATTATAATTAGAGTCCTGGATAATCACAGATACTCTCATTCTTAAGACATTTCACCAGCATGTAAATTGTTTTGTACACTACAACAGGCTGAATATTTTCAGTCTCTCTAGCTAGTGCTAAACAAATGAAACAGCAAATTCATCATTTATGGAGGTCACCCTTAGACGAACTCAAATAGGCATCGTGTAATTCTGTGAATTTACAGATTGGAAATCTGATACGATGTATAGAAAGGGTAATAATTATGTGGCGTGTGCTGCCAACAAAAATTATCAGTTGTATATAGGCGCAGATCTAATGAAAGCAGCCAAAATTGAAAACAATATTTTAAGTCACTTGCTGCAGAGGCAGAAGTGTTTAAGCCTCAAATCTAGATTTAGTTTACCCTATGGTCAGGAAACAATCTCATTAGAAGATCATTCGTCTCAGCAAATCGACAACTAATCAGCATAGTTTATTCTTCTCTGACCCAGCCGACTTTCAATGTGGCTAAACATGTGTAAATATGGTGCTCTTTTCCTTAATACAAAAGTCAGTCACAAAGTCTTTTGTCTTCTGCCATTACATATATATATAAAATCATTGTTTCAACATGCCTCTAAAGTTGGTTGGATACGTTTGGTACACATGCTTTTAGTTAATAAACTGGAATCAAATGTTTTTCATTTGTGAAATTCCTTACTCTTTGTGTTGCAATAATTTGAAACACCTAATAATGACGTTACTGCTGGCAACAATATCACGAAACATTTCACACTACTAACCTAACCCTACTCCCATCTAAGTGTTTATTTGAGATTATTTTGCAACCTCCATCAAAGAAAATAGACTGTTTGAAATAAATTTGTGAATGCTTTTCATCACTGACCACTAGAGAGTTGAAAACAACGCGAAAATCTTGTAAAAAGAGTAAAACTGTCACATAAAAAATGACGAATAAAAATATCACCCACCGGTTTGATGGGGAATTCAAAATAGCACTGGCGATGTTTTGTTCCATATAAAATAATAATGATAATGGAATCGCTATACCAATAGATCCAAGTACTGCAGGCCAACTTAAGGAATTTAACGGGGCTTTTTTTAAAATAAAATCAGATGGCTGAACTTCGAATGGCTTTACTGTGAATAAATTATGGAGAAGATAGATTAGATGTACCAAAATCTAAATCAAGAAAACAATACATGTGATATCAAAATATTAATAAAAACGCACTGTTTAAGTGTGGAGATCAATAATACCGTTAGGCATAATTTAAAATGGTAACAAATATGTAAGTTGTACGGTAGGTGAATATCTCAACGCATAGTCGAGGATTTACTCATATATATGAAGAAAGCTGGGATTAAAATACCAAAGAGTTGGATAAAAAATATCGAATGCACTGCGAAAACTGTATTAAAGCTGCCAATGAATTAGAAACGAACAATAAAAGTTAACAATAGCAGAGTCTTATCTAAATTCAATTGTCAAGTTGTGCCACACACCCGTGGCAGAGGCCTATGTCATTAGTGTCCATAAACCAGGTCTGCATGTACAGAAAGAAATAGTGCTCACGGAATTTAACCTGACATTACCTTTAACTTTGTTGACTGATGTAATTAGTATCCTGTCTCTGGTACCTAATTGTTTAGGGTAATGTTTTAAATGAAGTGTAAACCATCTTCAATGTTTCACACCCTTTCGATCCTCTACCCATTTGGACATGGCGTGTATGATATTTTCGCCTTTCGTTTTGAGATGATTGAATCACTGTGATTTATCTATTAGTTACATATCTCCTTCTGTACTTCTCGTAGCATCTGAATATATATATATACATTATGGTTATATTATTCATCTGAGGACTATGTACCTTCTTCGAATTCACTAAAACTAGTTTTGTTAGCGGTTACTGCTTGTTTTAAATTATTACTGGGTAATAAATGTTTTCGTAGTTGAAAATTCTTACCGTTCTGTACTATATTGTGTAGGAGGTTTGTGTCTCTTTCAGAATATTTATTTCGGTGTGTTTCATATAATGAACATATCTTAATAACGGAGAACTTCCGTTACACAAATGCCCCTAGTTAGGAAGTGATTACAAGTTACTAAATCTTAATTTTATGTTTCGTAACCTGTTATACGAAAGTCTCCTCAGCTATACTATAGAAGCTATCACTAGTTGAGCATTTAAATTCATCGTATAAAACTAGTAAATACATTCACACAAATGTGATTTTCGAACATTCTAATTTTACAACAGAAGCTCGGATTTCATATTAGTTAAGAGAAGACAGTAGTGAAATAGTCACTTTTAATTTAAAGACAAAAAGTTTTTCGTCATTCATTGTTGGATGTCATCATCAGTTATTATCAAAATGTTGTCTGTATTCTCCAGAAGTGAACTTTTTTTGAACGCTAAATGAGTCCTTCAAATAACAGTCAGATTAAGTTAAGTAATTTTGACTAATTTTGTACACATTTTCAAACATTAATGAAGAAGTCAGCTTTATCAGTGGATTACCTACTTCATTCTCGTGTATTTCCTGTTTACTGAATTAGGATGTTTACTGTTCTATTATTATTAAGTTTCGATATTTTATATTTAACGCCATACGCTTCCAGATATTTTCTCATTTATGTACAAATATGCTTTTTAATTCTACGAGGAAACAGACCTGATACATTTATACGCACACTTATAAATGTTTGTATATTATTAACACAAAATTGAATCTTTTATGTAGTTTTGTCCTCTGAGCTGGATGGTTTATTTGCAAAGCTTACATTGCTGTACTAGGCAATATCCTTGACGCCTTCAATCATTCACCTGAGCTACAAATCTTCTCCATTATAACAAAATTGAATGGTGGACATTAGTACAGTAATCTATTTCATACTTATATTTATAAAATGCAGACACCTCACTGACTTTTGGATGGTTTCTTCATTTTATTATAAATTTAGTTTAAATGTTTTGCGATATATGTATGCATATATTAACGTTAAATGATAATTTCGTCGCTGTCACCATACTTATTCCTGTTTTATGGTTTATTGCCTATTTACTACATTCAATATTCAATTCTTTGTTTAAAACTTGAGAAATGAAGAATAGTAGGAAGGCAAGTGGAAAAATTCTGCGGGTGTAATAATGTTCGTTTCCAAAACATACAGTATTTGCAATCTGAAATGAAAAACTATATATTGGCAGCTTTTTAGTCAAAATAATATCACTTTTGGCTACATCAATAAATATTGTTCTTGCAGTTTTTTATGGACCCATACGATTCTTTTCGAATTACCTCTAAACTTTTGTATTTAGGATATTCAGGCAAGAAATAAAATAGCATTGTTTCATAGTGCAAGTTCGGTCTCTCTTTAACAAAAATTTATGAAAGAAATCATGCATTTGAAACCTGATTTCATCCATTTTTTGGTGACTGGGAATAAAGATATGTCATAAAAACGGTGCTTTAGTTGTTGTTTGTTTTAATGAATTCTTTCCTTAAACTAAGGACCAATTTCCTCAGATCAAACGAACAAATAACGTATTGTGCATCGTAAAGCGCTTTATACACGTTATGATGTATAAGATTCAAGTAAACTGCATTGTTATTTTCCCACCATATTTGTTAGTTTCATCTCTTAGTCGTCTGTATTGCTGGGATCCTGTCTCTTGCCTTTCTGTATTTTGTAAGCAATAAATGCGTCTTATTTTCAAGATTATGTTATTGTTTTTTATAAAGCAAGGTCGTCTAACCTTCATTTTGCTGCCGCTAATTATTACCACTAAAATTAATTTCCGTTATCACATAAAGTGATTAAGGATGAATTTAAATAGAAATATAAGTCAATCTTCACTGAAATTTCAAGCACGGTATAAGATGATGTAATAATAACAGTATTGATAATGAGTGATAAGATTAGAGGCTTACAGAGAATTTTAAAAAAATATAGCTTTGTAATAACTGACTTAACTGAATAACTTTCATTGTCACGCGTAGTAACACTTACATGAGTTTGACAGAGTCGAATTCCCACATAATTTCAACAAAGAGAATATGTTTACTGCGAACAACTGTTCCCATATCATGGGGCTGAGACTTCTCTTCCGAGCTAATTTCCTCATAACTTTTTCCTGTAGGTACACGTTCCACAATGAACATTTACAAACTCTCAATAGTTCTTTCAATTCCCTTACTTTACAACATTATCACAAATGAAACACAGATACACTTGATAATTAATGTAATAGTATTATAGTGGCAATTCTTTAAGGCCCAATATATAATGAATAATTCTAATTTCAAAATGTTATAAGAAGGGATGGGTGAAGCCCGCATTAATCATGATTCCATTATCCTAGTGTGGTACCAATTTCTAAAGACTTTTTTGAAGCTCAGTGTTCATCACTCAACTTTCAGCTTTAACTTTATTATTATTTCCTTTAATTTCCAGAGGAACACAGGGCTTCGGTCGAACGTTTCCATTAGGTTCGGTCCTCTGTTAGAGATTTCACCTCGCTCCAAGTATGCCCACACGCTTTCATCTCCTCCTGACATGACCTCCTCCAAGTCACCCCACCCTATCACTGACGACCAACTCGCCACCCGCTTCCCTTTCGGGTTCCACTCGAGCAATGGCTTGTCTAGTGATGTCACTTGATGGTTTCCTCAGAGTATGGCCACATTCCAATCCACCTCCATTTCTTCCTGCCTATTCGTTTCACAATCAGTTCCTGGTTGGTTCGCTCATTGACAGAGATCTCTGTTGCTGATCTTCCCTGGCCGGCCATCTGATCTTGAGTGGTATTGAGCGAAGACAACTGCTGTTGATGAAGGTCTGTAGCTTGTTTGAGATGCTCTTTATGACGCGCAGTGCAAGTCTCTGATCCATCCGTATAGTAGCACTGACTTACTTCACATTGGAGTTGAAAATCCGAATCTTATTTTTGATGGTGAGTGCTGTTGACCTCCACACAGACTTGAGAGCGATGAAAGCTTGTCTTGCTTTTCCGATTCTCGCTTCGATATCCTCGTCAGTTCCATTCGCCTGTAGCTGAAATTATGTTTCCCAGTTCGGTAGGTAAGGGAAGCTGTTTCTTTATTTAACTTTATTTCATATAAATCCTGAAAATGGACAACAAACTGTGTGGAAGCTTCATCTATTATGATGTACTGCATCACTGTCAGTTACAGGGATAGGAAATTCCTTTCTACCACACTTATTAAAATTTAATATTCTACATTCACGTCTTTGTAGTGAAATCATCACAAAACAGGGCGATTTAAGTATATAAACGTATATAAAACTATGGGTATTTCCATTCATATCTAAAAAACTAAGTTGACTTTAAGCAATATCATGAGAGTAGATATATCTGTTGAATAAATTATATTTCTTCTATATTTATATGTTAAACTGACTTACATTTGATGTCGCCAAAGATTAAAGATCCGACCACTGACATAGTGATAACTGCGATGGGCAGAGCAAAATCTGTTAACATTTCACGTTTTGTAGCAGTCAGAAATGGTCTGTCAAATAAATGCCAAAAAATATATCGAAAATAATAATAAACCAAGAAAAATAGGGTTGTTTATTGTAGTGTAGTAAGTTGAATTAGCGCTTCACTTTAGGAAATGTTTTCATCAGTTATGTATGTTCATTAAATTGGCAAAAATGAAAGTGACTTTTGTTTTACAATGCTTATGTTCACAATATAGACCATTAATGCTTTAGTCGGGTCCCAATGTGTTCATTTTCAAACTCGTTATACTTTTCAGATAAAATAAAGTATTTTAAGCAGGAGAGTCTACAAAGTTTTGTGTATTCAAAATTTTAATGCACCTTTATTAAAAGTTCTATGACATTTTTATGAGATAAACTAAAGGTAATCAGTTTCATTTCATTGTAATTCATGTTAACTATAAATTAATTTTGGATTTAATAATGAAATAATAAATTTTAAATTTAACTTATGGATTTTTACACTTTATAACTTAGTATGATGTATTTATTTATTGAACAGTCTAAAAATGATTGTATTCAATGAACGGGGTCGGTTTATGAATGTAGTGTATGTAATCATGTTTATTTGAACAATCTAAGTTTGTTTACTTCGCTGAGCCAGAAATAAAAGCTGGTAAAGAGGAAAGGTTCAGCATGAGGCTTGCAACCCCATCCTGTAAAATAAACACTGCTACAGAAAATTCAAGCTACTAGCTTGAAGCCCCATGTTCCACTGGGAATGTGAAGAAAAATAAAAAGGATTGTTAATTACTTAGTGATTTTTTCAAAACTCCTATACACTCATTCTTATACTCTGTTTGAAAAACAATAATTCTGTCTGCTTTATTTAACCTCAGGTATAAATTGTTGGTATTAAGGAATTGAAGACCTTCAATGATTAGTTACTATCAGTGTAACGGAGAGTAAATAATGAACAGGATACTGCCATAGCTTTGGTCTGTTGACTCTTTCTGAAGAGTATAACTTTCCTGGAAAATTCACCCCATGATTATTTCTTGTTGCTTTGTAGTTAAGATGTTTGAAGTGATAAGATGTATTCGCATTCGAATTTTTTTCAGTCTCATTAAACTTTTTTTATTTATTTATTTATTTTTTTTTGATTTACAGCTTGATACATTCTATCTATCAAGCAGGTTGAACACAGTCAAAGCTAGAGTACATTTCTAGGTTTTTTTTTCATCTTGAACAGTAACTGAACTTGATCTCCGCATGTTTTTGAGAGACGGCTTCGATGATAAGCGCAATTCACTCAGACATTTAGCATTTAGTTAAGGAGAAAGTGGGGGGCGGGGGGAAGAGAGATAAGCAGAAATGATCATGAAAGCCTAGCCTAGCTTACGACAGCTGCAAACATGAACTTGTGAAAGGTCTTTATTTTTGTGTCTAAATGCGAGGTTAATATCCTTATGGAGATTCTATCCAAGTAACGTATCACAGTTATTGAGAAGATTTTTTTTCTCTGGATACTGGTTCCACTGCCTCAGTAACTATCCAGTGGTTAACTATCACAAAAATGGTATTGTTTGGAAGTGAAGCATGATCGTGTTAACTAAATCAAACCAGGTGTAGTTCATGGAACCTCAAGGGGGAACAAAGTTTTAATTAATCATAAATGCAGTCAACTCATCTCATATTATTATTCATTCTACAGAAAAGAATTTTAGTTTCCCTAACGAATTGCTAAAAAATAGAAATAAAAAGCATATAAGTATAATTTACACGATAATTTTACTTATTTAAATACATATTTTACTAAGATCTTATTGTTTACAGTGTAACTAAATAAACATATCCTTAGGTAGCCTTATGAGTAATTATCAGTTAATTTTGAATTTTCCATTTAAACTATTCCTGTGTTGACTAAGGCTAATCATACTGTTTCTTTTTTGATCAATCAATGTGTGTTGTAGCTTTGCATTTTACATACAAATATACATAAATGAGAAAAATCGTAACTTCAAAAGTGGAGTGCATATAATTTTCAAAGTGTAAGCTAAAATTATTGAAGAATTATTTGTGAGTCAGTCTACGGTATTGTATATGAGATAAACCAGAAGAGTAGTTTTGACAGGAGAGTATTCAGTGTTGGTTGTAATTGAAAACTAACTGTGTGAGCAATGAGTTATAATAAAAACCGTACACAAAAGTTTAATGAAGTAGTCCTATAGTCAATTAGTGGATTCTAGTATGTTGTCGCTGAGGAGGCCGCTGTGTGACATCGCATGCGCGTCAGGCCATCGCTCGAGTGGAACCCGAAAGGCGGGAAGCGGCGAGTGTGACGTCAGTGCAAGGGTAACTTGGAGGAGATCGTGTGAAGAGGAGTTGAAACAGTGTGGACTAACATGGATGGATGCAGGTGAGAAGTACAGCAGAAGACAGAAGCAAGTGGAGACGTGCAGTTGAAGCCCTATGTTTCACTAGGAACCCAAGTGAACAATAATAATAATATGCTGTTGACATTGGTTACAATAATAAAATGCGACTTAATCACCATGTTATGTATAGCGATTGTGAACTCCAGTTTATATGTTAATAACAGCATCATTTCTTGCTTCAGATGTCGAGTATTTTGAAGAAATTTAGAAGACTTTAAAGTAATAGTAAATATTTGTATCTTCATAAATGTGGTCTAAATAGATTTTGCAGTCACTATTAGGTAAAGTCAAACTTTGAATAACTTTTTTCCCCTGAAGTTACATATTCTGCACCCGACAACAATTCTAAAACACTTTGGATAACTTTAGTATACATAAATGTATAGATATAATTAATTTATTGATAGTAACACCCAAAAGGTGTTTCATACAATGATTCCCTTTTATAAATTTGAACAAAGAAAGAAGAAACATTGGCGCAGAATAATCTGGATCCATTTTATTTCGTTGGTTCTCATCAGCTGCGTACAACCCTTGTCCATTAACAAGCATACTGTCAGAGCGTGAAAGTAATATAAGGCGTTGAGATTTACAGGGTGTCTAAAGTGTTACGACATACATATACATATTATATACATATATATTGGTAGAGAGAAGTTTCTTGAAAAAATTTATTAACATTTGTGTTGTAGGGGTGGTAACAAAAGAAAATTAGCAATAGTTACGTAACTAGATAAGAGAAAATCAAAATTTTACAATTTCGCTGCACATGAGGTCAGATGAGAAGTTGATGGTGTAATATAGTGAACAGAACTCAGAAGATCAAGAACAATTGTCTTTTAAGAGACTCAAGCGAAAAGTAAAGGGAGGGGGTGAAGTGAAAAGATAAGCTAACAAAATTAGAAAACAAAGAGTTACTAAGAATTGTTGAGTCACCAGGGTAATTGAATTCCAACAACGGATTCTTTTTGGACACATAAACCAGGCTTCAATCGTTTTATTGTTATAGCTTCAGCAAACCTGAGAAGACTTGGGGTACTTTGTGTGTTAATTATTTTGAATGATTCCAGACACCCTGAAAATCTCAACGCCTTATATTACTTTCACGTTCTGACAGTGTGCTTGCTAGTGGACAAAGGTTGTACGCAGCTGATGAGAACCAACGAAGTAAAATAGATTCAGATTATTCTGGGCCAATGTTTCTTCTTTCTTTGTTCAGACCCAAAAGAAGGTTAGGAAAATGCAGCTGTTCCCACCTAACACTGCTGGAGTGAAACAATCTACCTGAATCAGTATACCAATTTTTCAGCATTGCTCTTTTCATTAATGAAGAATGCTTTATGTGTTTGGAAGGATGGACTGTAATTTTAGGAACATTTGTTGAACTTCAGAAATATCCACATAAGTTATAAATCAAAATAGGCTATTTCATTTTAGTGTCACCCATACCCAGTCTATAAACGACAATTTTCACTCTCTGGACTACTAATCCAGTAGAACCGATGAAATATTATTGCCATCAAATATGTAATATGACACTGATCAATAATACCTATCCAAGGTAGAACATATGATTCTGTGAAAATATTTAGGTTGTTAGCCCGAGTTTTTATTTCGAAAATTCGTGACACATCGCCATCAGAAACCATTCTGACCGACGACTGAATTTGCTGCAAAAATTTAAGCGAAAACGTTAGGAATTTAATCAGTCACGGGTATCGAATGCTTATTTATCAGTTAAGTGCACACTGAAGATAAGTTACTTAGGTAGGTCCGCTGTGCAGTGCTTTCTGAATATTATTGAAGGAGTATGTTATCAGGTCTACTTACTTGTATGCAATCAAGACAGACTGAGTGTTTTTTAGGAACCACTAGTGATGTAGGCGGTTATGTGTTTGCTTTTTTTTAATTATGTTGAAGAGACTAGAAAAGCATCACTTATATCAACATAATACTACGCGTTTCAATATCAAATTTTTTCAGACGTAAAATACAGAAATAAATAGCCATACTAAATTACACAAGTGAAGAAAATCTATTCATTTTACTGTAAAACATGTCAAAATGGAAACCCAATTTTCACTTGTTTCGTCAGACAGGTTCAGTTTTGCGTGGGCGTTTGTCAGCTAAAATATCCAAAATTATGAACAGAATTAAGAAACTAGCCATGATCGGAGTGAAAATATTATCAGGTAATTGTATGGCTGTACCATCGTTGTTCATCAAACAAGAATTTTCCGTCTATTGTATACCTTTTGGGATTCATTTATTCACGCTGACATGCTAATAAATACGGTAGTGCCTTTTAAAAAATATATTTTGATAAATGTATCCCAGAGAATGATTTTTATGGAAGTGTTAAATAATTTTGGAAAAGAAAGAATACAGAATAATTTCTTGACTGTGCAAATGTAATTATGGTAATAGTGTATGAAAAATGCTTCATGAAATACGTATTTCAGGGTTGTTACTTACAACATTAAATATGTGCTGAAGGTAAATTCACTATGTTCTAGCTTGCATTACTCAAAAGGCGAAAACAATATATTTAAAATTCCGAATAGAACACTCAGTCTCCAAGAATTGTTGACTAGTGTGTATCTTCCATTTACAGGCTCAACCTATGCAAT